TTTGAATTTTGATCCTCTCCTCTGGGGTATTAGTTACTCCTCCTAATTCTCTACTCAGAGAAGGGGATGATTCCTTTTTTTATAAGAGTTAAAATACAGTATTTACATTGACCTGTGGATAAGGGCTTTTCTACACGACTTAAATGATTCTCATTCTATTCAAATATAATGCCATTCAAAGGAATTCAGGCTCCGGCGGGGAGCGCAGGGGCAAAAAACTCCTCAACTCCACAGAAAAAGGAACTGCAGCATCCATGAAGATGCACATTATCAAACATGTGGCCATCCATCTGCTTCGCATGGATTTGCACGGCTGCACATTTTCGGCAGAGGGAGGGTAAACAGAGGTGGATTTGTGCAGGAAAATGAAGACAATTAAGTGTTGATGCCAATGTGCAAAATCTCACAACAGCCTGCATAATATGTGTAGACTAGCCCTTTGTTGACCCAGGTTTTTTGGGTCAATTTTCTTTATTAAAATTTCTAGATTTGTACATTTGTATATTTATATGCATTACCTCAAGTTATCCCTTTGGCAGCTTCAGCCCAGGCCAGAGTCTTAGCACTTACAGCTGCCATCCTCTATGGATGGATGCCCCATCACCAACCAAGGCTGGCACCTATTCTCTTGCCCTTTGGATTGAGTCACTCAGACACACAAAAAGACACAAAAAAAGCCAAAACAGTGTCTTTCCCTCCTGCTCTGGACAATCTATAACTAGAACTGGGACTAAGTATGCCTCTTGGACACCAACTCCCAGAATCCTCCAGCCAGTGGCCAAAGTAGTTACAGAGGATTCTGGGAGCTGCCACCCCACAGATGTTGGCTCTCCAAAATTGTGGAACTCCTCAAGACGTATAATTGTGATAATTTATTTTCACTTTAATATGGCAAGGGAAAGAGGCTTTAGAATAATTATAATTTTGACAAAATACCGTAGATTTTATTTATAAGCGGAAGAGACAGAGATAGAAGAGATTGTATTAACCTAGACAGAACTCAGGAAGTTTTCTGGATTTCCTATGTTTGTAGTTCTGTGTTGGGGGGGGGGGTATAGATAGTTATTTGTTTTCTATGTTGGTATTTGTATTGTATTTGTATTGTTGTATTTGTATACTTGTATTTTTTAAATAATATATAAACAAAACAAAATTGTGGAACTCTTGAAACTTAGCATGACTTGGAAGTGGGATGCATAGGTAAAGGTAAAGGTAAAGGTAAAGGTAAAGGTAGTTCCTTGGCATGAATGTCTAGTTGTAACTGATAATAGGGAGTGGTTCTCATCTCCGTTTCTAAGCCGAAGAGCCAGCGTTATCCAAGTACTGCTCCAGTGGCCATGTGGCCAGCATGACTGCACCAAACGCTGTTACCTTCCCACCAAAGTGGTACCTATTTATTTCCTTGCATTTGCATGCTTTTCAACTGCAAGGTTGGCAGAAGCTGGGACTAGTGATGGGAGCAAACCCCATCATGTCTTGAACTGCCAACCTTCTGATCTTCTGATCATCAGAACTGGCATCTTAACCACTAAGCCACCACATCCCTGGGATGCATAGACCTAACAACAAAATAATACAACACAACAACAACAACAACAACAACCCCCCCCCCCCATAACTTGTGTGAGCAATGTCTACTAGTACAGAGGGCCCTTGGTACCTGCTGAGGTTTGGTTCCAGGATCCCTGGTGAACAACCAAAATCTGTGGATGCTCAAATCCCATTATAATATACAGTGGTGTAGTAAAATGGTGTCCCTTATATAAAATGGCAAAAATCAAGGTTTGCTTTTTGGAATTTATACATTTTTAAAATATTTTCGAATTGTGGATGCTTGAACCAGAATTTGCCAAGTCACTGCCTGGACAACAGATGAATTTCAACCTGGCCTATAAAGGCACCCTGGAGCACTCCGGAGGGTCACACTTTCTGGACCTCTAGCCCTGGCCTCCTCCGTTTTTCCTAATCCTTGGGCATCATCAGTCCCAGAGTTTTCCTCTTGTGTTCCACCTCCCATTCTTCTGGATTTGGTACCACCAGCAGCACCTCCATGCTCTTGGCTGCCCACAAAGCGATGCCCACAAAACTGGTGCATGCCTCCTTTGGTGAGTTTCCACATTAAAAAGCAGCGAGGAAGGATGTCATGGAGAAAGAATCATCCCACTCACCTGGACAAGCACCCAGGAGAAGACCACGGCTGCCCAGGGGTTCCCACCACGGGATGTCCTCTTGGCCGGTGCCAGAGCTTTGCCTTTTGCCGCCGGATGGAAAGGAGAGAAAAGAGAGGCAGAAGGATTTATATATGCAGCATGATAACTGGATTATATGAATCACAGACTCCTAGAGTTGGAAGAGCCCCAAGGGCCATCCAGTCCAACCCCCCCTTCTGCCATG